TGATTCTAAATTAATCAAAATTTTTTGAATTAAATTTATTAAATTCATTTACAGAGATTTTTTTTCAATTAAAATTAATAGTTCCAATTTATTTCATTTTAATTTTTCATTGTGTGTTTTTTTTTTTTCTCTTTTTGCAAAAACTGAAATGATTACAAATTTTCTAAATATATTTTTCATTGATAATATTTATAATCTGTTTATGATTGAAATGAAATAAACAAAAATAGAAAAAAAGAAAGAGAGAGAGAGAGAGGGAGAGAGAGAAAAAGTGTTTTTAGCAAGATAAATTGAATTTGTTTCACAAAGAATTTCAATGTAAACAGGTTTTAACTAAACTGTATGCGTCATTATTTCAATTCAAAAAATTTTTAAAACAAATATGGAGCAAAGATAAAGCTAACACTTCTTGCTTTTTAACTAGCAGAAAGCTTAATTAGCTAACAACTCTTATACTCTTTCTCTTTCTCCCTTTCTTCTTCCCCTTTCTTTCTCTTTTTGTTTTAGGGATCTCTTATTATCCTTTGTTTATTTTGTTTACTTATCTATTTATTCATTTATTTTGCTTGTTTATTTATTTATCTGTTTATTAATAGTAATAATAATAATAATGATAATATTTTAATAATAATAATGATAATAATTTATTTATTTACTTAATTGACTATTATTATTACTATTATTAATATTATTATTACTCTTACTATTATTATTATTACTATTGTAAATATTATTATTATTACTCTTACTATTATTATTACTATTGTAAATATTATTATTACTATTATTAACATTATTATTATTATTACTATTATTATTAATTATTATTGCTTTTATTGCTATTATTATTATTACTATCAAAAAAAAAGAAAAAAATTTATCAAAAAAAAGAAAAAAATTCAAAAAAAAAAAATTTTTTTTCTTTGAATGATTTTTATTACTATGAAAATGTTTAATCATTGTAAATTTGAATGCAAAAAGAAAAGAAAAGCAAAAAGAAAAGAAATTTGAATGCAAATTATAATTTTCTCTCTCCTTTTTTCTTTTCTTTCTTTCTTTGTCCCTCTTTCAACTCTTTCTTTCTTTCTCTTTTTATTCAAATTTTTCTAATGAATTAATAAATTGAAATTATTTCATCTCATTTCTTTCAATTTAACAAATTATATATGTATTATTATGATTAATTAATATAAATTGCAGAAAATAATTGCAATAATTTTTTGCAATTCAAAAAGAATTAAAAATTTTATTTGTTAATTTAAATGAGAATTGTACAGTAGTATAATTATAATTATAAATATTAATAAGAGAGATAAATGAAAATTTAAAAGAAAAAATTTAATTAATTGGGATTGTTGGTTTTGCATATTTTTTTAATGTGTAAATATATTGTTAGCATCTTTTCTCCTCTCTCTCTCTCTCTCTCTCCTTTTCTCTCTCTATCTTTTGGGGTTTTTTTTTTAATTTCAAATATCAGAGAGATAATCATCAAATCTTTTTTTTTTTTTTTTTGACAATTTTGATGAAAAAAAATTGCATTTATGGATTAAAAAAGTTACAATTTGAAAAATTTTTTTTTTTAAATTGTCATTTATTTTCTTTTTTTTTTCTCTCTCTCTTTCTTTCTCTCCCTCTCTCTCCCTCTCCGTCATTTGATTCTTTTTATTACAATTATAAAATGGTAGTGAATAAATGCTGAATTATTTGTAGCAGCGATTATAAAACGAAAAAATTGAAATTAAATTAAACAATTTAAATTACATTTTAAAATTAAAATTTAACAGAAATGTATGCATATGAAGCATAAAATGATAACATATATAATTAGAGATGGAAGAGCTAATTAATTAATTAACTAATCAGTTAATAAATAATGAAGTAAACAGGTGTTAGAAAGATGAAAAGGTTACGACATAAATGATAAACAAAAAAATAAGTGAATGATATATATGTTTTTAAAACTTTTTATACACATACTTTAGTGATAAAAATATGTTAAAAAAAACATATTGCAGCAAACAAATAAACAAAGAGATAAACAGACAAATGAAGAAATAAATGAATAAACAAACAATAAAATAAACAAAGTAGATAAATGAAAAAAACAGCGAAGTAAATAAAATAAAATAAAGTAAAATGGTAAACATAAAACGAGAGATTAATTTAAATAAACAAACAAAATAAAATATTATTGTAAGTTATTTTAATAAAATTATTTTAATCAAATGGTCTTATAATTTGACACATTTTTTAATATCAACAAAATTTTGTCAGAATTTTAAAATTATAAATTATCTTTTTGTTTCACTTTTTTTTCTTCTTCTTTCCCTCTCTCTCTACTTCTTCATTTTTCCTTTGCATTTGTTAGTTCTCATTAGAGAAAATGTTTATGCTTTTAAGTTCCATTTACCATTTCCGCCTTTTACTACAACCATTAGCGCCGTTATATACTTTTCACAGCTCATTAAATGCAGCTAAATGAATTTTAGTAGTAAAAGGAGCAGTAGTAGTAGTAGTAGTAGTAGTAAGCATTTAGTTAATTAATTAAAGTAATCGTTGAACTTTCAATCATCTTTTTTTTTTTAATTTAAGAAATTTTTATAAAAATTGAATTTTTCTTTTAATTTAAGAAATTATTTTAAAAATTGAAATTTTTTTTTTATAAATTGTTAATAAAATTTTTTTTAATGGATTTTTTTTTCTTTTTTTTTTTTAGAAATTTTCATTTCATTTCATTCATAGTTTTTTTATTAAATTTTTATAAAAAGAAAGAAATGAGAGAGGAATAAATGATAGAAGATTAGAAATGAAATTAATTTTCACTATGACAAAGTAATCTAAATTAAAATTAAAAAAAAAAAAAAAAAAAATAATAATGATTTAAATGAGAGAAATAAGCTTTTATATGAATTGAATTAGAAAATTAAAGTTAAAATATTGAGAGTAAAGTTTTATTTATTACCAAAATTTTATATGATGAAGTTGTCAAAGAAAAAAAAAAGTTAAAATGAAAATTTGAAAGAAATTACAGGAAGTAATTTTAAATCAACAAATATAACTCGGTGATTATTTATTTTAATAAATAGTGTTAATGATAGCTTAATCATTGTTATCAGTTAATTTAAATAAATGAGCAAAAAGATCATTAAAGATTTTTTAATTTACAAATCAGTAAATGAATGCACATTAATTATATATAATTTCTATCAAAAAGAAGATAGAAAATGGAAGGAGACAAGAAGAATGATAAGTAGTGATAATGAATGATAATGAAGAAGACAAAGTAGAAGTTTGGAGGAATTAAGGATAGCAATTTAACCGTATATTGATAGGGAAGATGAAGGGGATAATAGCGATTTACTGATAAGATGATAATGATGTATTGATAATGAAGAGCACAATAGCGATATACTGATAAGAATAATAATGACAAATTGATAATGAAGGAAACAATGACGATGTACTGGTGATGAGAATAATAATGATATATTGATAATAATGGAAAGACGATATACTGGTGATAGGAATAATAATGACACATTGATAATGAAGGAGACAATAGCGATATACTGATAAGGACGATAATGTTCTATTGATAGTGAAAGGGTGATAATGAAACGGTGATAGGAATAATAATGACATATTAACAGTGAGAGAGACAATAGCAATATACTGATAAGGATAATAATGATGTATTGATAATGAAGGAGACAATGATGACGAACTAATAATGAAGGAGACAATAATAACGAACTGATAATGAAAATAATAATGAAGACAATAAATATTATATTGATAATAATAAATTATATTAAAAAAAAATTCCCATCTTTCTAGTTTAGCTAAATATAAATTTAATTAAATCTTTTTTCTTCATTCTTTTTATAAAATTTTGGAAATAATTAAGGAAAAAAAAATGTATTGCAAATAATGTAAACGTATAGTAATAATAAATTTATATAATCGTTTTTTTTTTTTTTCTTTTTCTTGAGAGACTTAAAAATTAAAAAAAATTTTTAATTAAATGAATAAATGTTAGAAATTATTTAAAAAATAATTATAATATCAATTATTCATTCATTTATATATTAATTCAAATTATATGTTTATATAATTGTATTTATTTTATTAACTGATACATTGCTAATTATAAAGTATATCACACAAATAAGTAAGTATAATGAGGTGACAATTTGACATTTATTGATTTATTGAATAGAAGGATTTATTATAATTAATCATACTATCGTAAAGTAAACATTTTTTTTTTAATTTCTAATAATAATAATAACAATAACAATAATAATGATAATGATAATAATTTCATTTATCCATGATAATATCAATGATAAAGTGAACAATGATTAGAAAAAAAAGTTATTTACTTACATATATAAAATTATAATATTACCTTTGATTTATCGCTTCTTTTTTTCCTATTATTTCATGCCAAAAAAAAATTTATTTATTGAATTTTTTTTTTTTTTTCATCTAACTTAGTTTACATTATTACATTTCACTAATGTGATCGTTATTAAGTAATAGAGTGAAGAAAAATTAAAATACTTTTAAAATATTAAAACTATTTTTCCTTATTTTCTAATAATTAAATCATTCGTTAAATTCATCTCAAAAATAATTCTACTCACAAATCTCAAAATATTAATGATTATCAACACGAATCATTATTATTATTACTGTCATCGTCATCATGATCATCATTATCGTTATCATTATCATTATCATTATCAACACTATCATTGATCGATTCTTTTTCCAAAAATAATAGATGATAGAAGGCCAATTGTATTTTTCGCAGCTATAAAACTTTGCTATTTTGTTTGAAATTTATTTACATTTATTATTTATACTTTATATTTTATACTTTTTTATGTATTTTTGAATAATTCTGAGCAATAATTAAGAGATATCTGATTAAAACGATTAATCGATGACATATTTTTCATCAATCATCATCACACCATGCATTTTGCCCAATTTCATTCTTTAAAATGATCCACAAACATTTCCTCTCGATCGAATATATCATTATCATCGCCAATACTGCCATCACTATCACTATCACTATCATCATTATCATCGTCATCATTACAATCATCATACCACTACCATTATTACTACTCATCAACAATACCAACAACACGCCATCATCATCATATCATCACCATCATTATTACTATCATTATTACCGATAACTTATCAATACCAACAATACCACCATCACGATCACCATCACTATCATCACCACCATCCTCCCACCATCATTATTACTACTACCATTATTACCGTAAAACTGTACTGATATTGATAAAAATGATTACCGTTAACATCCACAGTACTGCCATCATCATCATTATCAATAATATATCATTAATGCTATTATCTTTACCAATATCACTGGTACAATTACCATTGCCATAGCCATCAATATTATTATTATCATCATCATCATCATCATCACTGTACGTTTAAAAAGAAAGAGAGAGAGAGAGAGAGAGAAAAGGGGAGGAAATGGATACGAAGAGAGTAAAAGAAAGAATTAAAAAAAAAAACTCAAGCATGTGTTACATAGGAATGAAAAAAAAAAGGAAGTACTGTGTACTATATTCACTTCTTCTCTCTCTCTCCCTCTCTCCCTCTTCCTCTCTCTCTTCCTTCCCTCTTTTTTTATCTTTTTTTTCGTTTTTCGTTTTTTTTTTTTGATTGAAATTAAAAAGAGAAAAAAAAGAGAGGGAGAGAGAGAGAGAGAGAGAGAGAGAGAGAAAAGAAGGATTCGTTTTGTCTTTTTTTTTTTTGGCCATATTAAATTGGTGCCGAGTAGTACCTTTTGCCCGAAATTCATCCTTTTTTTTTTTTTAGTTTTTTTATTTTTTATTTTTTTTTTTTGTTCCATATAGGACAAACATAATCGATAATATTTGACATGGATAAGTTTCTGCTATTTTTTCCTTTTTTTTTTTTTTTTTTTTTGCTTACTTTAAAACATTGAATAGAAATAAAAAATTATCATTTATTGATTTATTCTTATCATTTTTTATCAAAATGATAAGGATATATTATCTGTTATCATTTTATATTATAAATTATTGATTATTTTCATTATTAAATTTTATCATTTTATTAATAATAAAAAAATATTGAATAATACCTCTTTTTTTTCTCTTTTTTTTTTATAAATTACAAAATTCAATTAATATTTGCTATATGATTTATTATTCTATTTTCACATCAATAAAAATGAACAAAAAGGACAAAAACAGAGAGAGAGAGAGAGAAAGGGAGATAGAAAGAAAGAAAGAAATCAAATGAGGAAGTGTTATCATATATAAATATATATGAATGATACATTTTTCCTATCATTTTTTTATCTCTCATCCTATTACTCTATAAATCACTTATCATTAATTATCATTGTAACTAGCGTTTTCTTTTTTCTTTTAAATTAAATTACACTTATATTAAAATAAATATGATAGCATTTGTGTATGTGCATATGTTATCATAATCAATAACTGATATATATATATATATATATTTCTTTTTTCATTTATTGAATTCATTTTTTCTCCTTTGCTTCATTCTTAGGGAATTAATTTTATTTTTTATATCTCATAAATATACATAAATATATTTATTATCAGTAATATAATCGACAAAATATATTGCATAATTAAGAAAAAAAAATTTTTTTTTTTCCCTTTTTTATCTTTTTCTCGCATTTATCTCTTTCTAATTCTTCGTTTTATACAGGAGAATAGAATGGAATAGAATAGGATAGGATAGAATAGATAGGATGGAATAGAATAGAATAGATAGGATAGAATAGAAGATAGATAGAATAGAATAGAATAGAATAGAATAGATAGGATAGGATAGGATAGAGTAGAATAGAATAGAATAGAATAGGATAGGATAGGATAGAATAGAGTAGAATAGAATAGGATAGGATAGGATAGAGTAGAATAGAATGGAATAGGATAGGATAGGATAGGATAGAGTAGAATAGAATGGAATAGGATAGGATAGGATAGGATAGGATAGAGTAGAATAGAATGGAATAGAATAGAATAGGATAGGATAGGATAGGATAGGATAGGATAGGATAGGATAGGATAGGATAGGATAGGATAGAATAGAGTAGAATAGGATAGGATAGAGTAGAATAGGATAGGATAGGATAGGATAGAGTAGAATAGAATGGAATAGGATAGGATAGGATAGGATAGAGTAGAATAGAATGGAATAGAATAGAATAGGATAGGATAGGATAGGATAGAGTAGAATAGAATGGAATAGAATAGAATAGGATAGGATAGAATAGGATAGGATAGGATAGGATAGAGTAGAATAGAATAGAATAGGATAGGATAGGATAGGATAGGATAGGATAGGATAGGATAGAATGATTTCATTCTTTTTCCCGCATTAATTTCTCACTAATTTATTGTTTTACAATGGGAATTTTAGAATAATAGAAGAGAGGATAGGATTAATTTAAAATATATTTTTTCTATTCTCAAAATCATATATTATTTTTCTTTTTTTTTTTTTTTAAGAGAATAATAGATTAGAATATTGTATAATTTCTATTCCTCTCCCTTTCTTAACACAAATTTAATTTAATTTAATCATTCTTTCACCCAAAATTATCTCTCCCCTTCCCATCTCTTCCCTTCCCTTTCCATCTCTTCCCTTCCCTTTCCATCTCTTCCCTTCTCTTCCCATCTCGCTGCTCCTCCAACTTTTATTTATTCGTACGAAAGTATAAAATATAAAAGTGCAGCGTGCAGTGCAGTTACTTTTCATTGGTGCTGCACATCTTGCTACGTACATATGCCTGTCTGTCTGCCTCTTTGTCTATGTGAATGCGTGTGTGTGTCTGTTTGTTCGTCTGTCTATGAATATGCATGTCTGTTTGTTTTGTCTACAAATATGTGTATGTGTGTATGTATGTATGACATAGACAAGCACGCGGATATACTTTGTTGCCAGATTTCATTATACGCAGACAAATTGCCGTCTAGTCATTCCTCTTTTTAAAATATGCCCTTCCTTCTTTACCTCTCTTCCTTTTCTCCTACTATCTCGATCCCTGTTCTCTCTGTCTCTCCCCTATTTATTATATGAAGTAGACATGTACACAAGACAGAGAGACACATACACACACTGTGAACATACATAGACGATTCAGACATTTGTATGTATGTCTAATATTTAGCACAAAAGAGAGAGGGAAAAAGTGAGGGGAGGAGATAACGACGAGAGGAGGGAGAGAGGAAGAGAAAATAACACTCAGTATCTGTCCTTCAGTCTTAATAAAAAAGGGGAAAGAATGAAAGAAATACGTAGAGACAAAGAAGAGGAGAAAAGAAAAGGGGAGAGGGGAAGAGAAAATAGAACGAATATATGTATGCAATATGATGTATGTCAATGTATGTTAGTGTCTGTTAAGCATGTATGCTAGTGAACGAGAGAAATGAGTATGCATGTGTGTGTGTTGTATGTCTGTTCCTCTTTTTCTCATTCTTTTTCATTTTCCTGTGTCTGTTGAGCGATAAACCGTTGTCGTTTGTATAGCGCTTGCAATTGTGTCATTGTCATCGTCGTTGTCGTCGTTGTCGTTGTCGTCGTCGCCGTTGTCGCCGGTGTTATCGTTGTTGTCATTATAATCTTCAACAGTCAGATTTGGTGGAGTCGTTGAAGTAACAACAACAATAACAATAACAGAAACAGGGACAACAAATAAACAACAACAACAGCAACAATAACGATAAAGGATTCAACAAATATAGCAACAGCAGCAGCAGCAGCAGGGATATGATAAATTGGAAATTAATAATGATAATGATGGAAAAAGGTATGATTTGGATGCTGATGGAACGATTGGAATATTATCTGAGATAGCACGAATTATTTATTTCATTTAATAATAATGTCAACAGTAATTGTAACATCAATATTATCGACAACAACAACAACAGCAACTGGAGCAGTAACATTAACATCAACGTTAATGTCAACGAAAAATAGTATTGCTACTACTACTACTTCTGCTACTACTACTAATACTACAAATTTGAATTCAATGAAGCAGTTGATAACAGCAGCAACAACAACAACAGATGATATTTTACTTGATGAGTTATCATCACGTTTGCATGGTGTTTTACCAATTCAACCAACACCATTACTATTACCATCTGATCATATTTCATCGTCACTTAAAAGTACACGTTTAAATGGTCATTTAATTTATTGTTTTGTTATTGGTGGTGAATGCCGTTTATGCTTTCCACAAATAATAAGCGTTGTATTACATGATGTACCAATTAGTGATATTAATGAATTATTTATTAATTTAAATATTCATATATCAGTTGCTAGTCAACAGCAATTGGATACATTAAAATTAGCTGGTATTATGCCAATGACAGCTGACAGTTGTGGTTTAATAACAAAAAGTGATGCAGAACATTTAGTTGCTAAATTATTACCACAATGTAGTGGTTATCGTTTAGCAACAGCAGGATCATCAACAACAACAACAGCACCAACAACAACAACAATAGCAGCAGCAACAACAACAGCAATGATTAAATCATATGATGAACTAATGATGAATGATGCTATACCAGTAATGCATGATTGCTTTGATGGTTGCACTGGTATATTAATACCAATGCTTAATTGTGATGAACAAATTGAATGTACCCAATGTAAATTATTATTTACTGGTGAAAAATTTGTCTCACATTCACATTCCATGCAACAAATTCAACGTATATGTCATTGGGGTTTTGATTCATCAAATTGGCGACATTATTTGCATTTACCAGAATCATATGAAAATGATTTGAAAGCATTGCAAAAACTTGAATTATACAAATATCCAACAATGATGCATCGTCTTGGTAAACGTTCCGCTTCAAATGCATTTACGGTAAATTTAATTTTCTCTTCTCTTCTTTTATTTTTTTTTTTTTTTAAGAAAAAAAAGCTTTAATTTATTGGTAGTATTATTTGATTATTTTTTTTTAATGTATATTTGATGTAAAAAAGAATTTTTTTTTTTTTTGATTATTTAATTATTGTGAAAAATTATTTATTTTTAATTATTTATTATAATAACAAATTATTTACATATTTAAACTCTCTTTTTTACTATATTAATTTTAATAATACTGTTAGAATTGAGAAGAGAAGAAAATTATTGAATTTTTAGTAGAGTTTATTGAATAGAAATAACCAAACAATCGTTTCTCCAACATTCATTCATTCATTCCTCTTTGTCGGGTCATTTTCAACCCTAACTTCTCTCAATGATCAATGATCAGTAATCTTTGATCATCGATCCCTTAATCATCTTTCCATTAAAATATTATTTAATCATCTCATAGTCTCATTTGCTTGCTATATAATGGCAAAATTAGTTAGTATTATTTGCCTGATAATAATTAGCTTTTTTAGTATCATTCCCTTATGCATGCATAAAAATTTTAGTGATTCAATAATTAATAATTAATAAAAAGCGAGAGAGGAAGAGAGAGAGAGAGAGAGAGGGATGGAGGGAGAAGGAAAAAGTGGAGATGGAGAGAAATGAAGAAAGATAGAGATAGAGAGAGAGAAAAAAAAACAATATAAGAAAGGAATTTTAGTTTTAAATTTTTATTTAAAATTTGAATTCATATAATAAAATTGAAAAAATAAAAAATTATTATTTAGTTTGAAGAAAAGACATATAAGAATGATTTGCAAATGCAATACTTTTTCATTTTATTTGATAATATATTATTTCAAATTTTTTTTTTTTTTTTTAAAATATATTTGAAAAAAAAGAATGCAGTAATGGAAATTATCATTTTTTTTTTTTTTTTTTGAAATATTTCCCATTCATTATTCATTCCATCTATCTATCTATCTATCAATCGATCTATTTACTGATTGCTGATAATAGACGTTGGGACGCTATACAGTTTAATAATAGATACTGTTTACACTTTTCTTTCATCATCTTCATAAATTGTTTCGTTCAATTCATTTCTTTTTATCGAATAAAAATAAAAATGGAAAGAAAAAAAAAAGAGAGGGAAAGAGAGTGAAAGAAAGAAAGAAAAATGAGCAAAAAATGAGGAGATAAAAAGAAAGAAAGAAAAAGCAATAAAAAAATGAACAATACAGAGATAAAAGTAGAAATGAAGAGAAATTTTAGTTCGTTTTGTTATGATTCAAAAAAAAAAAAAAAAAAAAGAGAGAGAGAGAGAAAAAAAAGTTGGACTGGTTTTTTGTACTTTGCACTTTTTCATTCTTTTGCATAAATTTTAAATAATTTCTTTTTCACCCTCTCTCTCTCTCTCTTTTTCTCAGTTTATTCTCTTTCTTGTCTTTTTATTAGCTAACAAAGAGCAAAAATAATAGCATTATTGTTTAAAAAATTAAAAAAAAAAGAATTCATGCAAAATTGTTTAATTTTCTTTTTTCTTTTTACTTTATTGAAAAGAAAAAAATTTTTTTTTTTTTTTGGTAAATATTAACTTAAGGTTTTTTTTGTAAAAAATATAAAAAATAAATAAGTTAGGAGTAAAAATAATGCAAATAAAAAGAATGAGAGAGAGAGAAAGAAAAAGAAAGAATGATGAAAGAGGAGAAAAAAAGTGCAAATTTATGTTATTATTTTTTTATATTATTAAATTATATTATTATTTTTTATTTCACTTATATATATAAAAATTTTTCTTTTTATCATTATTATACTAGTTAGTGTAATAAAATAAAATTGGAAATGATGAAAGTTCAATTTGAATATTATTTAATGTATCATATCATTGTGTATAGTAATCCTAAGAAGATATGCTAGAAATGTGATCCTAAAGCTTACAAATTTTCTATGCTTAATTCAAATAGCTAATTTAGCTTAGTGAACTGATAGCTTTAAGAAGAGCAACTGTGAAGTACAAGTTTAGTGCTATGATGTGATATGATACATTAGTGCATATCAGTAGTGTTCAAATGAATGTAGAGGAAGTAAATTACGAAAAATTTACATCATTATCATTGTTGTTATCATTATCATCATTATTATCATTAATATTATCATCATTGTCATTATCATCTATCTTGACTCATTGCGAGAAATTTATATTTCAAGGAAAATGATGGGAGAGAGAAAGAAAAAAGGAAAGGAAAGGAATATGATATTACTTTTCTTTTTGCTCAAAATTTTGTCAATCTTTTTTCCTTTTTTTTTGATTAAGATGAAAATTATGATATCAAAATGAAGCAAAAAGAAAAATAACAAAAATGAGAAAAAAAAAAGTGGAAAATTGAAAGGAATTAATCAAACATTATTGCTATGATAAATAAGTTAAAGTATTTGAAAATTTTTCTTTTCAAACATTTAAATTTCAAACATTTCAAACAACATTTACAGTAATTTTCACCATTGCTTTTTTCCCCTTTTCTTTTCTAATTTTTTAATTTAATAGAATAACATTTGTTTTATGCATATCCATATGTTATTATTTGTGTTTTATAATTAAACTACAACAAAATATCGCTATCGTTATTATTTATTGCGACACGGTAGAAAGTGATATTATATAAATAATAGTAATTAATAATTAACAATAATAATAATATTAATGATAATAATAATAATAATAATAATAATGGTATTAATAATAAAATTATTAACAAGCAATAATAATCTCCATTTATCACATGCTTTTATAAATGATTTGTGTTTTAAATATAGTTAATTTCTTAAAAACACTAGTAAAAATAGTCATGGAGGAGGATTTTTGATGATATGTAATTTCTTTCTTCTTTTTTTCCCTCTTTCTCCCTCTCCCTCTCCCTCTCCCTCTCTCTCTTTGTCATCCTTTTTTTTATTGTTTTTTTTTTTAAATTTTGCTTTCATCAGCATTTTTTCTTTTCTACTTTCAAGTGTATAGAGTTGGATTTTTTTTTTTAGAAATAATTTCTAAATTTTTTCGTGGAAATTTTCTTGATATTCCATATAATTGTAAATTTAATAAAATCATTTAGCTTCTTTTTCCTTTTTCTTTTCTCTTCTAAATATTAGAAATGATAAATGTTGTCTTTTTTTTCTCCCTTCTTTTTTCTTTATTTTGTTATTTTCTTCAAAAAGCAGTACTTGGCATAAACAATTTAGAAACAACAGATGCGAAATGATGGGGGAGGTGATTGATTGATTAGGATGATGTGGAAAATTTATTTGAATTAAAAAAAAAAAAAGGTGGAATGTTAGAAAGGAAAGGAAGAAGAAAAAATGAGAATGAAAAAGTAATATCGATTTAACAAAAAAAAGGGAAAGAATGTATTATCATCATTATGTGATAAGAAAAATTTTAGTAAGATAACGAAAATACAATATGAAAGTAGAAGTGAAAGTGAATGATAAAATTTAATTTAGATAGATGGCTATATTATATGTTTATAACTTAATAATTCTTTTTTTTTTTCCTTTCATTTGAAAATTAAAAATTAAAAAACAAAAAAAAGAGAACAACACAAAAACAAGAAGAAATAAACTTTAGCACATTTTGTGATTTATGATTAGTATGATGAAAATTTTAATTGTAATGTAGTACTTTAAAAAAGTAATGCTGATAAATTTTTGATAAGTTTGCTTAATGAAAATAATATCTAATTTAAAATTTTAAAATTAATAATGATAGCAATTAGACAACAACAATAATAAATATATAAATTATTGTGGTATGTTATTAGCAAAATAATTATAATATCTTGAAAGGTAAACGATAAATTAGCTGTGGATATTTTGAGAAATGATATGATATGATATATGTTAATGGTTGAATTAAAAATTGACTAATTTTACGATGAATATTTATTGAGCATTGAGAACAATATTATATTAACAAATTTTAACATAAAATAACTGTGTATAACTGCTTCTGTAGTTTTTTAATTCATATATATATATATTTTTCATAATTTTTTTGTCACGAAAAAAGATTAACCTAAACTTTACTTATAATTTCACTTATAATTATAATATAAAAATATGGCGAAGAAAAAAAAAAAGAAAAATCAATTAAAAGCTTTTTCTTTTTTTTCTAAAATGAAGAAAATAATTTTGTATATTAGTTATTTTCGCTTTCTTATTTTCTATTTCTTTCCATTTTTTTTTTTTTTTTTTTTTGTTTCTTTAACTTTTTAATTTTTTATTTTTCAGACAATTGAAAGTGGTAGCTGCTCAAAAGTGGCAAATTTAGCAATGACAACAGCACCATCATCATCAACAGCAATAAAATCTATTGAAACTGAAACTGAAATTGGAGGAATTGGTATTGAAATTACTCCAACAATTACTACATCATCGATGATGAAATCATCAATGAATAATGATTTTAATGAATATAATATTTTAAAATTTTCTACCACTACTACTACTGCTACAACTCCTATTACTATAACCAATACATATGCAACAACAACTATTGCTGATACAACAACAGTAACTGTAGTTACACCAACAATTCCTTCAGCTACATTAACAACAAATTCATCATCATTTTTACCCATACAAATACCAGTAATTAATGATCAATCATCTTCATCATCAGCATCATCTGGTATATCATTAATAAATTCTCAATTACAATCACTTCTTGCGCTACAACTTATTACCTCACAATTACCTCTAGCAAATGAATCATATCGTTTACCTATTCTTACAAATCTTCCATCTCATCTAACATCTGATATACGATGGAAATCAATTTATGATATACAATCATCATTATCATCATCATTGTTATCATCATCAGCACCATTAATTAATAATAATAATAATAATAGTAATAACAATAACAGCAATAAATTAACAGTTGATATGAGACAAATTACGGATGAAAATCTGCCCAATAAATATATACCTATATTATCTACTACTAGTAGTACAACTTCTAATAATACTACTATTTCTACAACAACAACTACTAATAATACTGCTACTGCTACTACAACAACAAGAACAAATTTTGATATACCAATAACATCAACAACAACAACTACTAGCAAAACAGGTATCATATGTGAATAATATTTGTTTTATTATTTCTTTTCTTTTTTGTTTTTTTTTTTTTTGTTATTTAAAATATTCGAAAAAAAAGTGAAGAAAAATGGAAAATTTTTTCAACAATTGGTTTATAAAAGAAGAATAAGAATAAAAACTGACTGACTGACATAATTCTTTTTTTTTTTTTTTTTCATATATTAAATGATCAATTAAAATTTTTTTTTTCTTTTAATTTGTATATGAAATGAAATTAAATGGAATATTATAATACATTTTATAGCAATATCATTGGAAAAATTATTGGATCAAACATTGAAAGAACCAGTTTTATCAGTTGCCAAATTATTGATTATGGAATTTCGGCGTGAAAAAGAATTGTTACTTAATCAAAATGGACAATTACGACGTGAAAATGCACTTTTACGTAGCGCACTTGCCAGCAGTACTGTTTTAGTTGGCTTAAAAGGATTAACCACAACAAATGTTCCTATTTCATAAAAAAAAAGAGAAAAATTCATTCATTCATTCATTCACAGGATCATTCTTACTACCTGATTGATTAATTGATTGATTGGTTGATTGATTTATTTATTCGATTTTTCTTTTTCTTTTTTTTTTACTTCGTTTTTTCCTTTTTTTTTAAAAAAAAAAAAAAAAAAAAAAACCTCAATATCTAAACCGGTGAATTATTATAATGTAGTATGATTGGAGGGGAGGGGGAGCGAAAAAAAAGAGAAATGTTAAATTCATTCTTAATTGTCCTTTGTTCAACTCATTCTTTGAAAAAAAAAAAAAGATTGCTACAACTATTGAAAAGGAAAAGAGAGTTGATAAATTGAAAAAAAAAAAAAAAAGAAGAAAGAGAAGAACAACAGTAAAGCTAATGTCATTTACTAAAAGAAAAGAGAATTAGTTTTTCTTTCTTCAATGTAGTTCAATAATTCCTTTATAACATAAAAATAAAAGTTTGAATGAATGGAAGAAAAAAAAAAAAAAAAAAAAAGAAAAGCATAAAAGCTTGAAATGCTTTAAGCAAAAAAATTTATTCCGAAATGATTAAAAATTTCAATAAATGTTCTTTTTTTTTTTTTTCTATTATCTATACGATCTAGACATTCAATTCAATGATGATACGATTGCTTAATTAATATAATTTGTTTATTTGTTTATTAGTCAGTGTTACCGATCTCGTTTCTACTACGGGTTTGCAGCAAGCAGACCGAGGTCGGTGCTCAGACTATAAATTATTTTGTTGTGACATTTTAGAAATTTACTATGCTATATTTGTCGTTTTAATTTTTGATTATTACAAAGAGAAAAATGATAATGATGATGACAATAATAATAACAACAGTAAGAATATATAATAATAATAATAACAGCAGTAATAGTAATAATAATGATAGTAGTGGTAATAATAAAAATAATATTAATAATGGTAATAATAAATAAATAAATGAAGATGATGATAAATAACAATAATAATAATAAGTTGGCTCAAGGACCACGGTGGAAAAGTTTTGGCTAAGAAATTAGATTGATTTCATGCTTTAACTTTTTTTCTTTCTTTTCTACAACTTACTGAAATATTTATTGCTAAATTCAAATTTCATTTACTGTCTTACAAGTATTTCTGTTTATAAGTAAACAAAATTATTAATTGCTTTTTTTTTTTTTCAAATATTAATCAATTTTAACATTAGAAATTGAAGATTTATGATGATACATCGATGTTTTATATAAGTAAGGAAAAAAGGAAAGGAAGGAAAGAACATGAAAAGTGGAATGTGATAATGTTTTTTGATTTTAAATTTGATAATTTAAGTTGTATGTTTAAAAGATGGAATTATATTTGAGCATATATCATCAATTTTTTATTTAATTCTATTTAAAAAGAAAAGAAAAAAGAATGAACTTATTTTTGAAAATATTTTGCTTGTTTAAATTGTTAGACAATTCTTTTTCTTTTTTTTTTTTCATCTCAAATTTCAATTATTCAAGCATTTGCTTGTTAATTTCCGTCCTTTTTTACATCATTTACTAATACTATACTTTTTTTCAATCTTTGTCCCCTCTCTCTCTCTCTCTCTCTCTGTTTTCAACTATTTATCTTTTCATTCATATATTTGAAAACGGAAAAGTGAACCGTAAAGCTCTTCGAAAAAAAAAAAGAAAAATCTTTCGAGAATAAAAATATATATATATATATATAATGCTCATCTTGTTCTATTGATAAAGTAGTTTTTTTAAAAAAAAAAATGGAAAAATAATTTTATATTTATTCAAGTGATTTTCAATTTGTTTACTTTTACATGTTTAAATTCCTCTCTCTCTCTCTCTCCCTCTCTCCCTCTCTTTCTCTCCATTTCATCCGGTTATTATTATTATTATTATTATTATTATGACAATAATAATTATTATCATTTGGTAGTAATAGTAGGTAGTAGTGGTAAGAGGTAAATAATAGAATGCTAAAATGAAAACTTGATTTACTGTTGATTTTTCCACCATCTTCCTTTTTCCTGTCCTTCTCCCTCTCCCTCTCTCTCTCTCTCTCTATTTCTTCATTTTTATCCTATAAATTTTACAATCAGGTTATATAAAACTTTTTTTTTTTTTGTTGTTGCTGCCAGAAAGTTTTAACTCAGGTTAGGGATAATTTTGTTAATTATGCATCAGATTAGATATATTCTTTTGTATAGTTGAAAAAAAAACAAAAAAAAAAAAAAGAAAAAAAAAAGAAAGAAAGACGAAGAAAAGGTGAAAGAATTAATTACCGGAAATAGTAAATACCACCCGTAAACAAGATTAAATAATAAATTGATTAAAATCAGGAAATAATTATACCTAATATACATCCGCTTTTTTTTTTTTTTTTTTTTTAGTACCTGGTATATTTTAATTCATTTTTTACTCATCATTTACTTTTGTGAATTATTTGTTTGTTTTATATCTTCATATGTTTTTTTTTTTTTTTTTTCTTAGAGGTTTATATAAACTTTTGACATTATTTTTATTCATTCATTCATTTTGTTTGTAAAAAAAAAAAAAAAAGAAAAAAAATTATTGTATTATTTGTTATCATCAAATTGAATTTATGATAAATTAATAATTAATATTAGTTATATACTAAATATAAAAATGATTGAAATGAAAATTTTATGAGATATTTGTTAATGATCAATAATTAGTCAATTGATTAATATTCTAATAGCATGAATAATTCTCGTATAAATATTTCAATAATTCAGTCATAGCAATTATGTATATATATTTAAATGCAAAAAAAAAAAATTAGATTTTTTTTTTTTTTTGTTTATATACAATTTGTTTTTTTTTTTTTTTTTCATTTTAAATTGTTTCATAATTTGTCATTTCCATTTTCTCTTCATTACATATTTACAATTATTATGATTGATATCTTTTAATAGCTTAAAAAGCTATATTCTTTTTTTTTTTTTTTTTTTTTTTTTTAACCAAATTGTTTTTCATTTATTACTAATTGTTCGCCTTCCAATAAAACATTTTTCTTTTTTGTCTTGTTTTAATATGTTAATTTTTTCTGTGATTAAAGTAAATATTGTGTGGTATTACTTTCTTTCTTTTTTTCTTCATAATTTTTTTTTTTTTTTTACAAATTTAAAATTTAAAAAAAAAAAAAAAAAGAAAGAGGGGAAAGAGAAAAATGTAATCAGCACTTATTATAATAGTCGTTAATTTTTACTCGTCAATATTTTTGAATCATTGATTTGCTGTTGTGAAATGTTTAGTTATAAAATTTATACCTATTGTTTATTGCTAACATTTTTAATCAATGAAAAAGAAATAAGATAAATACATAGAGCATTTTGTATGATTGCAAAATTTCATTAACATGTTAAAAATAATTGAAAAAATTTTTATAACTATAAAAAAATGATTCTACCACTAATAATAATAATAATTATTATTATTATTATTGAGATGTAAACGATTCATTTCATTGGAGAGAAATTAAATCAAATCTAATCATTTTATTGATTCAATGAAAATGATACAATGTGATATCATTTTAAACAAAGAAAAAGAAAAAAAAAAAGTAGAGCTCGATTAAATTTGAAAAAATGCAACATAAATTTGCTAATTTGTTTCGATAGAATAAAATATATTTTCATAATGCTGCATAAAAATGAAAAATAGTAATTAATAATCATACAATGAATTTGTAATAATAAAAGTAGTAATTAACAATCTTAAAATGAATTTGCAATGATAAAAATAGTAATTAATAATCATGCAATGGATTTATAACAATAATAATAATAATTAATAATCTTAAAATGGATTTATAATTTTTTTTTTTGCTCTTTTTTTTATTTTATTTTATTTTTTTTTTTTATTTTTTTTTGTTTGCTTTATCATATGCATATAAACAAAACAATATCAAATAGAACACTATCAAAATCACTAGAAAAAACAAAACATTTATGCATACATACATCTCTTTATCATTCTTTATGATAATCAAAACTGTGAATAAAACAATTATCCTACTCATACAACATATAAAGATAAAACTATAATAATAATTCATCAATAAACAATTTCTTTTCTATCATATTTAAAAATCATTTTTCTTTTATTGATAACAGTTAGAAAAAAAAAAAAAAAAAAAAAAAAAAAAAAGAAAGCACTTCTAAATCGATTACTTTTATAAAAATTTACATGTAAAACTTTAATCACTTTTCTTTTTCTTTTTTTTTGCCCTCTCTTCCTTCTTCATTTTTTATTCTTGTCAAGTGCAAATTAATAAGCATTATTGATTGCTTTCTTTTCTTTCTTCCTATCTACTTCCTTCATATTTAAAATTTGAATTCAATCAATAAAAGATTATTTATTCTTCATCGTATGTTTATTTGTTTACTTCCTATTTATTATTATTATAACCCAAATTTGCAACAACACGTGATTTTCGACACTTTCTTCTATTTGCTTTTCCTACACAAATATCTAAAGATGAAGAAGTAGTAGTGGGCATATTTACAGTAGAATAATTACTATCATTTAAATTCATTTCATGTTTATTTGTTTCCATTGTAGCATCAATTGCAGCTGATTTTATAGTAGTCGTTTGCGCATCATTCATTTGATCAGATTTTTGTAATAAAATTTCTCCCTCTGAAGTCTGCAAAGTATTTTAAATTGAATTTAATGCAATAAAAATTATATTGAGGAAGACAAAAAAAAAAAGCTTTTTTTTTTCTCTTTTTAAATTTTAAACATTTATGTAACTTAAAATTAATCTTTTTTTCTTCTTTTTTGCTACTTAATTGTAAGAATATAAAGAGAGAGAAACATCTCATTTAATAACTTTAACATCATTAACATAAAAGTATAATTAATATTAACTACCGATTTAGATGATTGAGTCAATCTATCCAAATTACTTGATTCACCCAAAGTATGCAAATGTTGTTTGTTGAGTTGTTCAGTTAGTTGCTCAATAGGACTATTTCCGC